AAGGGTGAATTAGCCCCTTCACGTAGAACACCGTGTAGCCGGTAGACGAATGTACTGCATTGTTCAGTGCAAACTCTACGAGTGGCAACGTGGCACTCCAGCGCCTCAGCGGCTAAGCGCAAACGCTGCGAAGAACCTTTCCGATGACGCGATTCACCCTTTCGGTTTGACCATCGGTCTGTGGATGATCAGCTGTCGACATATCTAACTTGGTGCCGAGCACCTTAAAGATAGTCGACTAAGATTTTCCTGTGAAACGGGGGTCTCTATCAGAGACAACCGACTCTGGGAGTCCGTGTTGATGAAAACACGATCCACTAACAGTGGTGCTGTACCGACTCCGTCGATGGTGTCTGACACCGCCGCCAAATGAGCTATCTTGCTCAACCGGTCGACGAATAACCTGTGTTGCCCGTCGAATCTTTCGGCAGGCCAAACACAAAGTCCAGAATTGTGGACAGCCAGAACACAGTGGGTACTGGAAAGCTATCCAGCGGCGCAGCCGTATTTGAAGAGGGTTTCACCCATTGACACGTCTCACACTTGCGCACATAGGTGGTCGTCCATTTGTACAGCTTGGGCCACCAATAGTGGAGACTCACAGAGTTGTACGTTTTTTACAACCAAGATGACCACTGAGTGGCGTGTTGTGCGTCTCATAGAGGATGCGGTATTTCAAATTCTCATCATGACAAACCACAATTCGTGGTGTATCCGATGAGTCAGTACAATAGTACAGCAACCCGTTATTCAACGAATATCGGTACAATCGTGCACGCAGTCTTTGTGACAATTTCTTGTCCGAGTTTCCAAACTCCTTGCTCCCTAGAGCCCATAACAACGCTACACACATCTCATCACCCACATACGTGGGCGGATCAAATCTTTCACAGAAAAGGTTGTTGATGTTAGCAGCATAGCGCGATAAACCAAAATCACCAAGATTAATCTCATCCCTCTCGACATCAGCAACACAGATATTTGCAGGTTTGAGATCGCGATGGATCAGCCCGCAAGAATGAACATGAGCTAATGCACTTGCAATTTGTACAAAAATCTCCAGCATTCTAGACAACTCCATTGGACGGGTCGGTTCAGCAAGGGATCGACGTTACAGTTGTAACATGAGCAAGCTCATAGTCTGGTCTGCGTGACAACGCGTCATTGCTTTCCCGGCTTATACTTCACCTCGAAGTCATACTCCGTAAAGAAGGACAGCCATCTAGCCATCCTCTACGAGAGGTGGGGCGACTGTATCGCAGTGCGTAATGACGCATGATCTGTGTAGATTACAAACGGTTTGGAGCCGAGCAGGTGGACCCTGAACTTGACAAGTGCATACTTCATCGCAAGTAGCT